TTCCACAAAAACAGAAACAGACTCATAGACATAGAAAACAAACTTATGGTTATTAGGGGGAACAGGGGTGGGAGGGGATAAAATGGGAGTTTGAGATTTGCAGATATTAACTACTATGTATAAAATAAACAGTAAGTTTATACTGCATAGCACAGGGAACTATATTCAATATCTTGTAACCTGTAATGAAAAAGAATATGAAAAGGAATATATATGTATATGTATGACTGAAGTATGCTGTATACCAGAAATTGATGCAACATTTTAAACTGATTATACTTCAATTGAAAAAAAAGATCACAGCTAGGAAGTATCAGAGACAGGATTCCATCTAAGCAGGGTCTTCCTCATTAAGTTGTGCTACCAAATGCATATGTAACTTTCGCACATGAGCAAGTTTATCTGTTGAGTAAATTCCTGGAAGAAATAGTATGCGAGCACATTTAGAAGGTTCGTTTTAATAAATACAGATTGCCTATAATGTATGTGCAAGGCTCCATGCCAATCACTGTGGTGGGGAAGGCCTCTGAAGGTAATCCTAATGGATGTGAAGTGAAGTGGTCTCGTAGAGGTTTTAATTTGTATTTCCCTAATGAACTGAGCATCTTTTCATGTGTTTACTGGCCATGTACATATTTTCTTCAAAGAAATGGCTATTCAAATCAGTTGTCCATTTTGCAATTTGGTTATTTGTCTTTTTGTGATTTAGTTGTAAGAATTCTTTGTATTTTGGGGGTACTAGATCCTTATCAGATATTTAATTTGCTAGCTAGGATGGCTAGTATCAAAAAAAAAAACAGAGAACAAGTGTTGATAAGGATATAGAGAAACTGGACTCCTCATACATAGCAAATGTTAATATGAAATGGTGCAGTTGCTTTGGAAAACCATTTGGTAGCTCCTCAAAATGCGAAACAGAGAGTAACATATGGCTCAACAATTGCATTCCTAGGAATAGAGATGAAAACAGACATCCACACAAAAACTTGTCCATGAATGCTCACAGCAGTGTTATTCCAAACAGCCAAAAACCGGAAACCACCCAAATGTTCTTCAATTGATAAATGGCTAAATAAGGGTGGTACCTCCATAAGATGGAATATTATACAGCCATAAAAAGAATGAATTACTGATACATGCTACGACATTCATAAACCTTGAAAGCATTATGCTAAGAAAAAGGCCAGTCACAAAAGCCCATATATTATAAGATTTCATTTATAAGAAATTTCCAGTCCAGGCAAATATAGAGACAGACATTAGAGTAGCAGTTATTTAGGGCTGGGCAGTAGAGAAGAAATGAGGAATGATTACTAACGGACAGAGGGTTTCTTCTGGGGGTGATGCAAATGTTCTAAAATTGTGGTGGTGGTGGGAGGATATAGCTCAAATGGTAGAGCACATGCCTAGTATGCACAAGGTCCTGGGTTCAATCCAGTACCTCCTCTAAAAAAATAAGAAAACCTAATTATGTCCCCCCACAACAAAAAATTAAAATTGTGGTGGTGATGGTTGCATTACTCTGAACTACCAAAAACCATTGAGTAGTATACTTTAAACTGTATGCTGTGTGTGGATACGTAAGGTGTTAAATGCCTATCAGATTTGAAATGTAATCAAATTGGTAGTTACTAGTCTTTAAAGACATTGAGCAAATACTTTTATGCAGTAGTTCAACATTGCACAAGAGTGATGTAAACCAACTCATGTCTTTCTAATAATAAATTTTATATGCATGCAACCAAAGTTTTGCATTAAATAGAGTTATTTAAATTTTTTTAGGAGGAGAGGCTTGGATATTTTTAGGGTAAAGACCACTATTTTAAATGTTAAGTCAAAGTTTTAAGTGAAGAAAAATTATCTGGGGTTTGAAAAGCTACTGAATATGCTCACCATACTAAAGGAGATAGTAGGCAAATTAGCTTTAAAATTACAAACATATTGATCTTTTATGATAATCTAAATCTCTGAGCATCTACTATGCTCATCAGGAGGAATTAGAGCCTCAATTCTAAGTCTGGGGTTCCACATATCTAGGTATATATATTTCCTCTGGGGAAATGGGTGGTTATGGGAAATGTGAACTGGATGTGGAGGAACGGAGGATTGAGAAGCTTGATACTGAGAGAACAGGGTTTATTAATGATGAAGTAAAATTAACATTTTAAGGCAGGACAAGAAAAGTTAATCACTAACTTCTCTCTGTCCATTTGGGCCTCCTCCCTCCCTCCCTCCATAATGTGCAGGCTGCATCTGCAGGACACATTAACCAGAGCTCCACAAAGATGGGAACGCCTGCTCCACCGTAAAGACAAATTTTTCCCTTTCTTCTGATGCTAGTCATGTAATTTCTTAAAATAATAGCATTCTTTCCCAACTCTGTACAGTCATGGTGACTCGATGCTCACTCTGTACGCGCATACCTGGACTGTGTAACGTTGGTGAACTTAATGTAAAACATCAGTATGTCGTTTTTGATGTTTGATCCTTAGCCTCAAAAGTTTATATGACTGTGCCTTGGACTTCTAAGAGAACCGCTCTCAGAGCTTTTTGAGAGCCTGTCTTTCAAGTCATAATCCTGTTTGGGTCGAATACAATTCCCTTTTTTCCTTTTTCTTTTTAATTAAAAAAACCTTGTTTTTAATGTGGAGAGATAATTGGATTTATTTATTTAACAGAGGTACTGAGAATTGAACCCGCTTACCACTTAGCTATACCCTTCCCTCCCTTTATTCCTTCTTAACTGTTAATTGAATTTTCTTTGATATTAGTTTATTTCTAGACCAGAGTAATCATTGAATCCGGCCAAGTTTTTCTGACCACTATGAAATTCCTTCAGCTATTTCAAGGATGTTGAGAATTAGGGAATGATATCAAAATCACTGCACCAAGGTGAAAAAGCTAATGACCCAGCACGTTTTTACTGGGGTTAGAGGGAGGTAGGGCCCTTCTCAGCAAATCCGCAACAATGGGTTGCGTGAGTAGCAGCTTTCTAGACCCAGAGGGCCTGCCCTCTCGTCCTTCCCACGGCCTCGCCTTTGCCCCGGCAGTTCGCTTGGCCTACAAGGCCCCCTCCTTTCTCAGCACTGAGAGTCCGCTCTGCAAGGTCCACCGCCACCGCCGAGCTACAGCTCAGCTCCATCCTTCTCTTACGCGACTCCTAGACGCCTGTTTCAACCAGGTAATTTTACCTTCATTGACGCACACCCGGTCTCTTCGTGTTTTTCTACGTCTCGAACTATTATTTATAAGTCGGTTGCGCGTAGCTGGCTCAGTTAAGGGCCTCGGAGTCGGGCAGAGACAGCAACCCCGCAGGCTAACGGGGTGAGCTGGAGCGGCGGCGCAGAAGCCGGGTGCGGGGCCGGGACCGGAACCGGAACCCAGGCTGCTCTGCTCACCTTTCCGGTCGGGGCCGCGCCGCGCGGTCACGTGGCTGGAGTAGCGGCGGCGCGCGCGGCGCGGAGGCTGGGGGCCCGGTGAGCGCGCTAAGGTAGCGGGGGAGGGGAGCGGCGCGAGGCGGCGGGGTCCTGCTGGCGGAGACGGGGGTCCGGTTTCCCCCACCAGCTGCGGCTACCCGGGAGGGTGCGGGGGACAGACCCCGGGGCGGAGCTGCGCAGATTCGAGAAACTCGGCAGGCTGTGGACGAGCTGGCAAACTGGCTCCTTCCTTCGTAGTTTAATGGCCCCGTCTGATATTGCAGAAATAAGGAATAGAATTGAAAGACTGTTTATGCCTCTTTCCGCTACTAATTATTGTTTTGTTAACTTTTATTTTTTTTAATTAATTTTGAACCGTAAAGCAACAGCCGCTAAATGCAATGTGGTGTCCTGGATTGGATTTTGGAACAGAAAAAGGACTTCAGTAGAAAAACTGGGGAAATCTTGATAAAGGAGGTAATTTAGTTATGTATGTTGGTTATGTAGTTAGGTGCATGCATCAATGTTAATTTCTTATTTTTGATAAGTATACCTTAATGTTACATTAGAGGAATTTGAGTTAAGGGTATACATGAGCTCACTGTACTATCTTTGCAAATTACTGTAAATCTAAAATTATTTTAACATAAAAATTTAAACAGAATCCTACAGCGATATGCAGCAGACCAATGTTTACCGAAAGAGCTGAAGTTAGTTCCTTTTTGCCAAGCCTGACAGGAATTAGCTGTCTGTTTGATCAACTTGTTTGCTAAGGAAGGTCCGGCTAGTGGGTGTGGCTGCTTCTAGTTCAAGTTTTATGGGCAGGAAATCTGTTTTGTCTTTCAGTTCCATCCAGTGGATGTCTTTGGAACACCTGTTATACACAAGTAAATGAGACACACGTGTTCCCTGCCCCCAGTGCAATAAAAATGCAAGTTAGGTAGGAAGTAAGGACTATTTGAAAGGTGCAACACAGAGCTGGAAGGGTTCAGAGGTAGGAGAAATCACCTCTGGCCCAGAGGAGTCAGGCTACTGGAGAGAGTGGCTGTCGTGAACTGAGGGGGCCTGAGAGGAGAATACATTCCTGGAGAATGGCTCCAGCAGAGGCTTTTAGGAGAGGAGGCTGAGGGAGCCTGGGAGCAGGTACAAAAGTGGGAGCACAGCACATGCCCAGGGGCTACTGACGCAGATGGCACAGGAAGTGAAGACTGGAGTTTTCTTATAGAAAACAAGGTGACACTTAATTTTAATTGTATATGCCATGGGAGCTGTGGAATGTTTTGGGGCAAGAGGGGGGCATCATTATGTCTGTGCTTGGAGATGATTGACTAGGCAGCAGTGTGTAGGATGGCCTACAGTAGATCACTTAGGGAAGCATTGGTTTAGCCCAGGGAAGTCACAGAAATTCAACCATGGCTCTGAAGTTGATATACACAGAATAACATGGTTTGGGGAGATTTTGTGGACCTAGAGAACATCAAAAAGAAAAGAAAAAAAAAACCAAAATCCCAAAGTTTTGGCCCTGGGTGTTTTGGAGCATGGTGGATGGATTTGCAGAAATAGAGGACTCAGGAGAACCCTGGAGTGGGGATGGAGAGGGCAAGCAATTTGTTTTTTGAACAAGCTGCGTTTGAACTGCTGGCAGAATACCCAGCTGGAGATGTGTATTTTAAAGTGTTGAGGAGTGGAAGCCAAACATACAGAGGGGACAAGAAGAGGAAAGGGAGCCCCAGCGGACAGATAGGAGGTAGCTGGGGATTCTTGTTGGGTTAGGAGCCAAGATGGCCCTTTGGCCTGGACATGGAAAGTCTGTGGTATCACGGCTTCTGCAGAGGTGGAGGACCCTGAGGAATGAGGCTAGATCTTGGATTTAGCAAATTAGGAAAACACACATCACTTTTCAGAGTTGCTTTAGTGGAAAAGTCAATTATCTGCTCTTAGCCTGTAGTCTGTTCATCCCATGGCCTTTCCCAAGTGGGCCAGGAGCCAGAGAGATGGCTTCTAGTTCTGGCTCTGCCACTACCTGTGTAATTTTGAGCAAGTCATGTATGCCTGGACTGGCATAGGAAGACATTTGCCTTAATAAAACCAAAAGGACCCTTTTATTCCTAGCAACACCTAAAAGTCCACAGAGCCCAGGTTCCATGGGGCACACTTTAGAAAATGCTGATACAGAACCAGAATTTTAGAGCTCTGAAGAACCAAAGAATTTTATCCAATTCCCTCACTTAACAAATGAGTAAACTAATACTCAGTGAATATTGATTTCAAACATATCATATTGATGGGACCCAAAATACCCCTATAAAGTAGTTATGCTTAAACCTGTTTTGGAGATTCAAAAACAGGCTCTGAGAAGTTAAATGACTTGCCCAGGATCACAGAGCAGCCAGTGGTGGTGTGAGATTTGAACCCAGGCCCCTAAGTCAGGGCCTTCTCTGTCCCACTTCCTGTTGCCCCACTGGTTGTCAGCACTGAATGCGTTTAAAACTGGTTGAATGGAATGCTAGTAACTTCAAACATTTTCCCTTTCTTAGAAGGAATGTGTTCCAAAAGTCAGGTTCAGTTTGACTGCATTACATATATATGTTACTATTAGTACATAAAAGCGGGAGAGTACACAGCCAACAGTTCCCGAAGTTACATTTTAAGAAACAGTGCCTTAGACCATGTGAAAGCTCATTATGTTTCATCAGCTCTGAGGAGTGGGAAGACAGAGGCCTGAATAGATGCGGCCTGTTGAAAAATACTCTGAGCTGATCCTGTGATTGCTTACTCTTTCCTCTTACTGCTGTTTTCCTTTGCTTTGACCAAGTCCATTGTCTTCACTGCTGGCCTCCTGACCCTGACCACACCCTTCTTAACAGACGCATGAGGCTGCATTTACTAGAGGTAAAACACTGCCTCTTTGGGATTATTCTTTGATTCAATAAGTAATTTCTTACCTACCTTGACAAATAAAAATAGACTCACTTATTTAGGAAATAAACCTGTAAAGGAACCAAGATGATTTTATAAAAAAAATTGGAGGGATAAAATGGCTCCAATATACTGTGTGGAGTGTTGCCCAAACTAGCAATTTTAGACTTTTACTCTCAGTTCTAATTGATGTCATAAATAATGGAAACTTGGTTTACTTTGATGTTAATCTCACTGGAATTCTCTGAAAGATATAAAGCAGTGGCTGAGAGAGTCTGAGAGTATGTGACATCAAGGGCCTGGATTCAGAATCTGCTTCTACCTCTTGTTAGCTGTGTTACTTAACCTCTCTGTGCTTCAGTTTAATTGTCTATACTTAAACAATAATGGTATTATCTTGCAAAGTGTTTGTGAAGATTAAATAGAATAATCTAAGTAGAGCACTTAGAATACTGCCCAGCATACAGAAAGCAAGCAACCAATGCCAGCTATTATTATATCTTGTTTTTAAAACTGTTGCCAGTTTAAGGCATCCAGTTTAATAATTTTCTTATCTAGGAGGGCACACCCAGTTAACATCTCATCTTTCCTCCTAATCCAGTTAAAATGTCCCTTATTTTTTTCTGTGTTTAAAAGAATTTTTTAAACATTATTTAAGAGGTATAATTTACATATAATAAAATGTACCATTGTAAGTATGTAGTTTGATGAGTTTTGACTACAAACCATCATTTCAGTCAATATATAAGGCTTTTTCATCACCTTGGAAAAATTCCCCCATGCCCTTTGAAGTCAACCTCCCCACCCCAGGCAACCACTGATTTGTTGTCTGTCATGTACATTAGTTTTGTCAGGATTTCATACAGTATGTGGTTCTTCTGTTAGCATAATGTAAGATTCATCCATATTATTGCATATATCAGAAATTTATTATTTATTACTGAATATATTCTGTTGTATGGATGTACCACAGTTTGTCCACTTTCCTGTTGATGGACATTTGGGTTGTTTTTAGTTTTTTGGCTAATTTGAGTAATGCTATGAACATCTATGCAGACATTTCTGTGTGAACATATGTCTTCGTTTCTCTTGAATAGATACTAAGAATGCAATTGTTGGGTCACTTGTTTGAAAGAAACGGTCAAGCTTTTTCACAGTGGTTGTACCATTTAATACTCCTGCCAGCAGTGGATGTGGATGCCCACATCCTTGGCAACACCCGGAACTGGCAGTGGTGTGTGGGGGAATCGCATTGTGCTTTAAATCTGCAGTTCCCTCATGACTAGTGACATGAGCCTCTTTCCATCTACGTGTCTTCTTTTATGATGTATCTCTTCAAGTCTTTTAAGGGCCTTTGTTTTTAAATGTTGAAAATGTTGACCCTAAAAACAACAGACCCTTCAAACATGATAGGTTTATTTGGCATCTATATGTGGTTTTAATAGTGGGAGACTAAGAGAGAGAATTCAGCAAAAATACAAGGCTGAGATTTAATTATTTTTGAACGTCCTGGTAAGCAACTACTTACACAGCAGAATATTTAGAAAGGATGTCAGATGTGTTTGTTTTCCTTTTGTGTGTGTGTTTTGAGGGGGAAGTAATTAGATTTAGTTAATTTTTTGGAGGAGGTACTGGGGATTGAACCCAGGACCTTGTGCATGCTAAGCATGCTCTCTACCACTTGAACTATACCCTCCCCTCTATTTTCCTTTTTTTCAAAAGTGAGTCTTGAGACAAGGATGAAATATTTCTAAACCACTTCAGCAAAGCAGCTATTTTGAAATGACTGGTGGCAAAAGTCCCTCTTAACTGCACTCTGGACTGGAGGGACAAGGCTGAGCATTTCACGGGCTCTCCAGCCACCAGGTGGGCCAGTGTCACCAGGTAGGTGCCCACTGCTGTCTCTGCACAGGAGGGCTCAGTGATGGGGTTGTCTCTGCAGGGCATTTTTACCTGGAGTTAGCCCCAGTTATCCAACGAAAAGCCTTATTGAGGTGACTGTTTTGTTTTTCTTCCCCAGAGGCAAGTATTTCAGTTTGTTGATTCCTACCTTCCTTCGTTAACTTATTTAAAAGTGTGTATTGAGCATGGATCATGTCTCAGATACTGTTTAGGCATTGGGAATGCAGTGTGACCCAAAAAGATAAAAATCTCTACCTTGTAGAGCCTGCAGTCCACTTGGGGCCCTGGGGGTGGGTTTGGGCTCTGGCAGAGGAACTGTCCCGGTCGCCCTACCTTTTGAGAAGCATCACAGGCAGGCCAGAGCCACCTCCTGCTTCCCTGGGCTCCCTTTTGTACTATGTTAGAAGGTCCTAAGGGATAAGGAGAAAAATTGAGGTGAGAAGTGGGATAGGGAGGAGGAGTTTGTAGTTTTAGATGCGGTGCCAGGAAAAGCCCCACTGAGAAGGTAACACTGAAGGAAGGACCCAGAGGAGGTGAGAGACCAGCTGTGCATCTGTCTGGGGGAAGAGCGGTCCAGGCATTGGGGCAGGAATGTCTGGCTCAGTCATTCTGACCCAGGGTGAGGGCACGAGGCCGAGATGAGCAGGGAGGCCCCTCACCATTGGAAGGGTTTTGGCTTCTACTCTGTGTTGTGCAACAGTGGAGGGTTTTGCACACAGGTGTGGCATGATTTGAGAAAGGGAGGGAGGGACAATGGCAGGGACAATCCCACCTATCGCTGTCCCAACAAAACCTCTCCTAATTGTGTTGTGCACAGAAATAGAAAATGAACCAAGTAGAGCTGTAGGAGAGTGCGTCAGAGCCTCGAGCACCTGAAGTCCGTCAAGGGCCTGAGGGACTGAGGCAGGATGGTCCTAGTCATTGGAAGCTGGTTTTTCAGAGGCTTTTCTGAATTTTGTACAGATCTTAAGCATATGAAAACTGAACCCTTTCCTTCGCAAGCTTGTGTGTCAAGAATGTTCTGTTTCCTTGGCAAAGGCTGCCCTGCTGTATTCTGATCAGTAGATTATTGGATTCAGTAAAAGCCTTTCCTGCTTCCTTGGAAATAAGGAACTGGATCTTTTCTTACCTAAAAAGTCCTGGAATGTTAAATACCTTGAATTGGATTACAAGGGGCATTTGTGGGCTATGCCTGCATAGTATAGAAAAGGACTTTTCTAAGGACCTACTGTAGAGCACAGAGAACTGTATTCAATTTCTTATAACATATAATGGAAAAGAATCTAAAAAGAAAAAAAATATGTATGTATATGTAGAACTGAATCACTTTGCTCTACACCTGAAACTAACATTGTAAATCAACTATACTTCAATACAAATTTTTTTTTTTAAAAAGAGACTTTTCCTCCCTGGCAAACCCAACTTTTATTATACTGATGGCTTTTTAACTACTATTTTTCTTAACTGCAGATAACCTGTTTATCCTGATGGTAAAGAAGGCACGTGGCTGATGAGCAGGGTGGCGAGGCCGCCGAGTGAGGCAGAGGGTCCAGCCTGGGAGACAGAGGACGAAGACACGGCAGAAGGCGATTTAGGGTATGGCCTTGGAAGAAGACCCGGCGGGATTTATGAAGCTCAAGTTTCACATTTATTTACGTCTAGAAAAAGTTCAGATGGGAAGAATTTTAGTCCTCCCCCATTTTCAAGAAACAAGGAAGAAAGAAATGGAGCCACTTTTCAGTATTCCAAGCATAAGAGCGTGCCGGATACGTACCTGGAAGGGACCCGAATTTCCCATCGCAGACGACAGAGTAGCACTGGTAAGAATGCCCGGTGTCCTCTTCCTCCTCCTCCTTTCTGCCCCGTGTCACCCCTCCGACACATGAAGGTGAGTCTCCATCGTGGATTTTAGACATTTATCTTAATTCACCTCTACGGACTGGTGATGATACGAAAGTAATCAGTGTTTCTATTTCCAAGTATTATGCAAATTGGGGAGTACAGTAGTTACTCTGCGTCAGTACATGTATGTTATATCAGTAAGTGATCGCCTTCCTTGCTTTTTTTTTAAAGTAGTGGTGTACTTCATTTGGGTTTTTTTTTTTTTTTTTTGGTCTTATTTAACATTTATTGGTTACCTAGTAGGTGTCTGGGACAGTTCTAGTCTCTGAGAACAGCATCAGTGAACAAAATAGTCAAAGGACCTAATGTCATGGAGTTCACATTCTAGTAGAGGAAACAGAATAAACCAGCAAATCAACCACTGTAGAACATCAAGCAGTGGTAGGTGAAAAGCTAGTGATTGGAGGGGCTGGGTGCTGCCATCGCAGGCAAGGGTCAAGGGTGGCCTCTCTAAGGAGGTGGCATTTGAGCACTGCAGGTCTGGTGTTTATCTGGGGAAGGAGAGTTACAGGCAGAGCACATTGACTTCGGGTTACTTTAGGGATGTCATAAAATTCCACCAAAATATCAAAACAAAATTAATCTTAATCTATCCTAACTAAAAATAAATTATGCTCTATGCTAAAGAGAGAATAAAAATTCAGACCCATACTGTGAGAAAATGTTACACCTCCGAAGTGAAGTGATCGGGACCTGGTGGGCAAGTCCCAGCCTGCACTGCATGTGGCGCAGCTCCTATGTGATTGAATCTTCTGTAATCTGCATTGTGAAACTTCCCCACCAAAGTGGAACAGACACAAATTAGAACAACATGAAAATAATTTAAGGAACATGGGTTCAGATTTACAAAAAACATGTTGCAGCCGAGGATCTATCTCCATCCTTCAAAATTCTTCTTGAAATTAGGATGGGATTATTTATATATTTTTCTTCCAATTCCTTATCATGCATAGAGGATAGATACTGTTTTACAAGCAAGATGTTGAAAACTGAACATCATGATATGATGTCTTTACATGAGGAAATACCACTGCGTTGTAAACAAGATGTAATAGCAGTGGTGTGAGTGCGTATTTTGTTAGGTTATGGACTTTTATCTTTTTATCAGAGTTGACTTATCCCAAGTAAGTATATTGTATTAGTTTCCTATTGCCAATAGGCAATTTCCAAATTACCAGAAATTTAATGGTTTAAAATAACATAGATTTTTGTTATTTTACAGTTATTATGTGTCTCAAAAGTCCAAAAAGGTTTTACTGGGCTAGAATCAAGGTATCAGCAGGGCTGCCTTCCTTCTGGGGGCTCTAGGGGAAAATCCATTCCCTTGCCTTTTCCACCTTCTAGAGCCTGTGACCCCTGGCCTGTGGTCCTCTTCCTCCATCTTCAAAGCCAGCAATGGCTGGTCAAGTCTTTCTCACACTGAATCACTCTTGACATTGACTCCCCTGTCTCCCTCTTTCACTTATAAAAACCCTTGTGATTACATTGGGGCCCCCTGGGTAATCCGGAATAATCCCCTATCTCCAAGTACTTAATTTATTCACACCTGCAAAGCCCCTCTGGCTACGTATTCATAGGTTGTGGGATTAAGAAGTGGAGGGAGATCTTTGGGGGCCATTATTCTGCCTACCACAAGTATGAACAGAACAGAACTTGTCATTGTCAAGCCAGTGTCACTTCTGTCCCTCCTTGTAGCCCTGAATCATCAAAGTAAAAACAGAATTTAGGTTTTCCCTTGGATACTATCATGTTGATGAAAGTTCAGAATAACAAAGAAAAAAATTGTTTCAAGAAACTTTTAATGTCCCTCAAAATATTCTCAGAAAAATTTTTTTGCTACTTTTTACCTCTTATCCTCTTGCTGTAATTTACCACTTTAATGTTTTTCTGTTGCCAGTGAGAACACCATGAAAATGAAGCACCCAGGAAGTTCAGTTTAATGTCTCAATTGACCACATTAAGGAGATAATAATTCAAGTTACAGGAGCTTCTAGTCATTCTTCTTGGAAAGAAGTTAAATTCAGGTTATTGTTTAGATATTCATATCATGATATTGATCAGGCTTAAGCCAAATGCCAAAATTGTTTTATTTCACTCACCAACATTCATGGGGTTTTTTTGGGCGGGGGTGGTAATTAGGTTTATTTATTCATTTAACAGAGGTACTGGGGATTGAACCCAGGACCTCGTGCATGCTAAGCATGCACTCTGCCACTGAGCTATACCCTCCCCTCTCACCTTCCTCATTCCTGTGTCTTTTCATTTGTGAAATGTCTTAAGCTATCCATTTTTATCATCATTTGGTTTGTTACAGTTATTTTCTCTTTTCAATTTAAGTGGAGCCTGTTTTTCATATTTTGTAAACAAATATCCTGTATTTAACCAGTTAAAGAAAATACTAAAAAAAATTTTTTTCCCTAATAGATTCTAATTCAGAGTTGTCAAATGTGGAATTAAGGCAACATCTTCATGAAACTTTAGAGGTAGGTGCTCTGGCTAATATACAAATTCTCATGGGAATAAAGTCCACTGATAGATATTTTGTGTAAGTAGTACTAATATGGTTTGGAAGGCAGATGTTGGCTTTCCAGATAGTCTCATGAGCCACAGTGTCAAGCTCATAGCTTCTAACTGGCCTCCTCTGTTTCTTAGTCTTCTCATCTCTCAAAAAAGCTGTTTATATAAACGTGCCCTCCAGTTCTCTTTTCTACCTTCTAATTTTTTTTTAAGTATACTTGATTTACAGTGTTTCAGGTATACAGCAAAATGATTCAGTTATGCATATATATGTATATACTCTTTTTCAAATTCTTTTCCATTAAAGTTTATTACAAAATATTGAAGGTAGTTCCCTGTGCTACATAGTAGGTCCTTGCTGTTTATCTATTTTATATTTAATAGTTTATATCTGTTAATCCCAAATGCCTAATTTATCCCTCCTCCAGCCCTTCCCCTTTGGTAACTGTAAGTTTGTTTTCTATGTGTTCTATTTGTTTTGTAAATAAGTTACTTTGGTATCATTTTTTAGAGTCCATATATAAGTGATATCATATGATATTTGTCTTTCTCTTCACTTCTTTAGTCGACCTTCTTTCTCTAATCTCCTCCTGGAGAAAATAGTTATCACTCCTTTCCATCTGTCTTCCCTGTATATGTTGAAATAACCTGACTTAATTTAACCTCCTTAAGGTCAGAGGCTCAGAAAGTACCCCAGATGGCCTGAGGAGGCCATCCGTCTTGCTGGGAGGAGGAGTTTCTGTGAGATGCCTACCCTTTGGGGAACAGGAAGCCCAACTTAGTGATTCTAAGCATTTGTGATTCTTCTGGTGAAAGCTATTCTAGTAGTTTCCTAGGGCTGCCCTGACAAAGTACCACAAACCGGTGGCTTAGAGACAGCAGATTGATTCTCCCAGTTTTGGAGGCTAGAGGTCTGACATCAGGGTGTCGGTGGGCCATGTTCCCTCTGAAGGGTCTAGAGGAGAATCCTTCTTTGCCTCTTCCTAGCTTCTGGTGGTTGCCGCCGACAGTCCTTGGCTTACAGCTGCATCACTCGGGTCTCTGTCTTTCTGAAATGTCACAGGGCCTTCTGCCCTGTGTGTCTGTGTCCAAATTTCCCTTGTCTTATAAGGCCACCAGTCATTGTGTTGAGGCCCACCTTAATCCAGGATGACACTGATTATATGTGCAAAGACTCTATTTCCAAATAAGGTCACATTCACAGTACCGGGGTTAGGACTTGAACATATCTTTCTCGGGGAATACAGTTCAACCCATACTAGCTACTGTAACTGTGTGGATGATCATGTGCTTGTTTTATGTGGTCCAAAGATTTTTCTCCAATTTATTAGCTACATGGCCTAAATGGGTAAAAGCAAAAATTTGGACTTTCTGTCATAACTGGCACCTGATAGTGAGGGTCTCAATTTTGGCCTCTTCTGGTCCACTTATAAAGCCTGGAAGAATTTCCAGCCTCATTTGTAAGGTCAAAGTGCTTCGAGTCAAAGTGCATGTTGAGTTTAAATGTAAACTATCCAAATTGATCACTTAGGGTTGCATATTTGCAGAGAGGAAGACTAATTTTATTTTTCTCCTTAGGAGGTAGAAATCTTGAAAACTGAACTTGAGGCATCTCAAAGACAACTTGAAGGTAAAGAGGAAGCATTGAAAATTCTTCAAAGCATGGTAAGAAGTTACTTTTAAACTTTCATGGTGTACACATTCCAATAATAAGTAGCATGGTTTTAGCTTTAGAAAAAAGGTGCACATAGGAATAATTAGAAATTTAATTTCTACTGATAAATGATCTTTATTTTTCTTAGGCAATATTTGGCAAAGCCACAAGTCATACCCAGGCAGTGCTTCAAAAAACTGTGGAACAAAAGAGATCCTTGGAGAAGGTATTTGCCACTTGTAGTGTAGACTTGTTCAATACAGTAAGCTTTCAAATACAGTTTCCTTAAAGACCACTGTACCAAAGGATATGTCATTTGTGCATACTTTCTGCTGGGTGTGCTTCAACTTCATACGGTCCCTTCTATTTTGGAGCTTATAATCCAAAACACATGGGCAGAGCCCGCCAAGTTGACACTTTCTATTTTTCTTCTTTTCCTATTTTCCTTCCTCTGCTTGCCCGAAAGCCTGCCTCTTTCTGACAATCTCATCTTCACCCTAGATGGTCACATTCCTGTGCCTGTTGTACCCTCCCTTGATGGGAGTGTCCTGGGCTTAGACTCCTAGTAGTGTACTTTGGGGTCTACATGTGTTGAAGGTGATGAGAAATCTTGGTTCAGGCCAGCAATTTTTTTTTTTAATTATAGTTGATTTATAATGTTGTGCTAGTTTCTGGTATATAGCATAGCGATTCAGTTATATACATATATATATATATGTATTTTTCATACTCTTTTTCATGATAAGTTATTACAAGCTTTTGAATATAGTTCCCTGTGCTATACAGTAGGACCTCATTATTAGGCCAGCTAATTTTGAAGCTAAACAGTTTGAAATTTTCCTCCTAATAAGCAAGCTTCAGAAAAGCTTTTTTGAGTGCTAAAGAGGTGTGTTATATGTGTTTACAAATGTCACTCTTTTTGAGCAATAATTAGTTTTTTTCTCTTAACCTATTTCTATGAAATGATTAAATGATTTATTTCAGCTATTCATGTATCCTGAAATGATTTATTTGTAGTAATTTTTTCACAAAAGTGCTCTTTTCTTTCTATAGGAAATAAATGCCTTGCAGTGGGAAATAGAATTTGATCAGAATAGATTTAAAAATATAGAGGAATCTTGGATCCAAAAATATGACAGGTTTGTATGTTATTATTCTATAATTTTTCTTTGTAAGTCTTTTAAAATGTGTGTAATTCAAATGTAGCTTAAGGTTTTCTCTTCTTTGAGCTAACTGTAAATGTAAAATTCACTTTGCTTACCCATTTACCAGTTCCTATTTTTCTGTTACTGTTAATTTTCTTTTTAAAAAAATAGTATAAACTGTATATTAAAATAACAGTTTAAGACCATATTTCCCAAGTTACTTTATTATTGGCACTGTTTTTTCTAACAAAATCTTTTGAGCAACTCTCTTATTAGTGCAAATTTATTTAGTAACTTTAAATTACAGCAGACTTATAAGGTCATTCATTGAGAAATCGATTTGATACCTGGGATTATAGATGGCTTTAGTGTGTAATTTTTTAACTTATTATTTCTTAATTTTTAATTTGAGATAATTGAAGACTTACAGAAAAGTTGTAAGAACAGTACAAATAATAATAATATATATTTTTCACCGATTCTCCAAATTTTAACTCTTTATCACATTTACTATATCATTCTCTCTTTCTTTGTAGTTAAATGCATGAATATAGAGGTAGTATTTTTCTAAACCCTTTTAGAGTACGTTGCATATGTAAGGCCCCATTACTCTAAATACTTCAGTTTGTATGTATTTTTTTAAAAGGGGGCATTCTCACTTGTAACCATAGTATACTTATAAAAATCAAGACATTAAATCCTTGAGCCTTCCCCAAAGCAGTTGGAATAATCCTCCTACTCATTACTCACACACACACACACACACACACACACACCCCACCCCAACCCCCTGTCTCTCTCTCTCTCCTTCTGTGGAGTGTGTATCTATTTTTACTTTAAACTAAACACCCCACACCTCTTGGCTTCTCTCCCTGTCATCTTTCTGAGATGGCCCACATTCTGCCTATGGAGTATGTATCTTCTAAGACATTTTCCCTTCTGAGTGAGACAGACCACACTCTCTGTGAAGAGTGTATCTCTCTAAATAAACTTGCTTTCACTTAAATAAAAAAAACCCAAGAGTATTATTTTTAAATTTTTTTAATTAAGAAACTAACTTTATGACCACTGTTTTAATGAATTGTAGCCAATCCTGAGCACGGAATATAACATTCCCCACAAATATCACAAAATGTCTTGATGGATATTTTATTTAAAGTTATAAACTAAACCAGATGACCAGGCTACTATTTTTATTTTTATTTTTTTATTAAAAATAATTTTTTTTTTAATGGAGGTTCCAGAGATTGAACCCAGGACCTCATGCACACTAAGCATGTGCTCTGGCCCTGAGCTATTTCCCTCCCCTCCGGCTACTGTTTTTAATTTCGAGATTTTTTTTAATAAGCCTCTAATGCTGGGTGATTTAGGAACTCTTGTAAGTAATTATAAGTTTTATTCAGCAGATAAAGCTCCCTATGTACCTTTTTTTAAATTGAGGTATAATTGACATGTACCATTGTATTAGTTTCAGGTGTTCAATGTAATGACTTAGTATTTGTATATATTGCAAAATGATCATCACAGTAAGTCTGGGTAACATTCATTGCCATACATCGTTACAACTTTTTTTCTTACGGTGAGAACTTTTAAGATCTACTTTCCTAGCAATTTAAAAATATATGGTATAAAAAAAAAGAAATAAAAATATATGGTATAGTATTGTTAACTATATTTTCCATTTTGTACATAACATCTCCAGGACTTATTTAATAACTGGAAGTTTGTACCTCCTATGTATCTTTTTAATGCAAATTTTGGAAGGTAGCCTAAGCATTTAGTTGGTGGTCAGATGGTTATTAAGTTGACTGAAACTTTAATAAAGAGAATTAGTGTTCAAAATAGATGCCTTAGAGATATTTCTGGTCCTGATTCTTTCTCAGCTAAGCATACAGAAGGGTTAATAGTAGGTTTAAAACCTTACCACACTCCTTTAAATTGTTTTCATTTTGTTACATGTATAATCCTAGACTGTTTTGAAATAGAAAAAATTATATTTGGGTTTTCCTGTTCTAATTACGGAATAAAAATATTCTAATTCGATTACAAAGTGTTACTATATTAGTTATTTGGAGAGTACTTTTTTCCAGGCTAAACTGTGAAAATGCAGTCCTCAAAGAAACTCTGAAACTGAAAACAGAAGAAATTAAAATGCTCAAGTCTGAAAATGCAAGTAAGTAAAGAGTGGTACTTTGATAATTCTTCAAAAATATTATGTTAAAAGATCAGTTTTATATAGTATGTCCTATGTCCAGAACACACATATCAATAGACAAAGTGGTAACATTTTGAAGTAATCTATAATTAAGGATGAAAGAGAAAAGATATGCATCAGTGCAGTTTTTTAATTTTAAAAAAATTGAGGTGAAATTCACATAAAATTAACCATTTAAAAGTGAAAAATTCATAATACATACAATGTTGTACAAACATCTAGTTCTAAAATGCTTCATCAGTCCAAAATAAAGCCTCACAGCCATTAAGCAATCCCCCCAGTTCCCCATCTATCCTTCAGTTTTTATACTCAGTGTAAAACAAAATGGTAGAGCACCTGATGTTTGAGGAGCCTGAGTAAATGTATGTTTTAATGGAACAGTATAGGAAAAGTATAAAATTGTATTAACTGTACATTAAAATAGTATTAAATATACACATATAACTATACAAAGCAGCATTATTTTTCTTATAAAAGTGTCTTCTGCGAATATCCCTAATACAAATATTTTTAATTTTTCAAAACATTTTTGGACTCCTTAAGAATTCGAAGTTTTTTACATATATTATGTGTATACAAACACACACAATATATCTTTTGTATAATAAGCCACTGTACGACAAAAGTTAGTGAAAGGCTATTAAAGTGTTTTAAGAAAATTAAAGTGGTACCAACTCTTCGGGAAATTTTAAGAGACGATGTTGATTGCCCCTTCTTTGTAGAAACTGTTTTAACGTGGAGGCTTGGAAGGGATAAAATAAGTGCTAAATCAGGTCATGGGCCTGAGAGAAGCACTTTACATAGTGTAGTAAGTGAACTGTGGCAAAACCTCTGGGTGAGAACTACACACATAGATGGTGCTTCTCCACACCAGTGATTTGACCCAGAGATTTCTCCCAGTTATGTTAGCTCCAGGACAGGAGCTGCTGATAACCACTACCCTTGCTCCTTCCACCCTGCAACAGGAGAAGAAAAGTTACTGATTTCTGCTCTCCAGGAAATAGCAGGGAACCCTCTGGTTCTAAATGTTTGCGTTGAGAGCCTTTTGTGAAAACTCTTAATAGAAAAGTCTGCTAGAGTTTGGAGAGCTGATACAGTTGACATTAATACAATATGTGAAATCTCATCACCTGGGCCTCACTGTCCATAAACGGTGAAAAATTAGCCCTTGTTTGTTCTCTTTTTGAAAATTCTACAAATTTTCTTTGAGCAAATGAAGACCAGACTTTGGTTCCATAGTTGATACTTCCACATTAAAAATAGTAACATTTTATCTAGTGTTAACGTGTATATTATCTCACTTGATACCCACTGTTCTATCAAACAGATAGGGCCAGAGTTTGTGGGTAGTTATTGTACATGCCTTGCTTAGAAGATGAGTATATGATGTTGGTGTAACTAGATGGGGTTAGACTTCATAACCGAACACTTCTTCATATGGCCCCTCCTAGTTTTGAATCAGCAGTATTTGGAGGCCCTCGCCATGCTTGATATCAAACAGCAGAAGATGGCTCAGGAAAACACGTGTCGGGGTAAAAGTGGCTTTACAGAGGTTTCAGGTCTTGAGGTAGGTAAGCAGGTACAAAAATTTAGCAGGGGGTAAATTTTCCTCTTTCATTTTCTTTCTGCCATCGCCATCAGCTCCATTTTTAGGACAGCACCATACTTAGCAATTTGAGAGAGGCCCAGGTCCATTCTCCAGCCTTGCTGGTACCATACCTTTCAGGCATGACATTCTTGGACATGAGGGGATGTGCTAGCCACTTCTCGCCCCTCGTATTTCCTTTTTCCACAGTTTTAGCCGAAACTATTGTTACCAATGTCTCTCCTGAATAGGGGCTTACAGCCTCAGAGTACTTTCCCACAGTTTTTAATCTGATCATCATGGTAATCTTGTGAAGACTGCAAAGCAGGTACCATCCCCATTTTACAGAGGAAACCCTGGCTCAGATAGTTTCAGTTACTTTCCTGAAGTGACAAGGTCAATCTGGGGTTGAGCCAGGTTCAGAAGAAAGGTCTGCTGCTGATGGATTACTAATTGCTTGTTGAGGTGTGCAATGTCTTACAGTGTGGAAGTTTGGCTGGTAAGATAAAAAGTGTCCTGGGGACTCATGAGAAATGAGCAATGTAACAGTGGAGTGAGGGGGGTTGGCCATTCACATTATAGAACTTCAAATAAAGAAACTATTAATAATAATAGCAAATACATAGTCCTTGGTAAGCGCCAGATTCTAAGTGCTTTAAGTAGATGAACACATTTAATTCTCACAACTACCAGATAAGCTGAGTACTATTAAATCCTCATTTTGCAAATGAGGTAAGAGGCACAAAAGGATTAAGTAATTTGCCCAAAGTCACAAAGCTACTAAGTGGTAGAGCTGGAAGTACATCCAGGTAAAGTTTAGAGTCTGTAATTTTGATCATCATGCTCTACTGCCTGGGTGGAAAACTAGTGTAATAACAAAACAGGAAAATAAACTGAACTGAGAGAAAATTCTGGAAAAGAAGGCTTTCTTATAATCTTGAGTGGGCCAGGGCCTAGGCAGGAACAAGGACCCTGAACCAGCTGATGAAGGAGCACTAAGGTAAAGAAGTACAATTAGGATTCAGAGCTCCTTGCAGAAACCTTGCATTTTCACATTGGTCCTACTCAGGTCGAAAGTTACTTTTGGCTGCAGCTTTTGCAGGGACAGTTATCAGGAGCCAGAAGTTGAGAAGGGAAAATACCAATCTACCACACAGCCACCATTTGTACACTCCAGTCAACTATAAGGTGAATATGTGCTTCATAGTCATCTTTGATGTGAGGAAGAATTTTCTGTAATAGCCTTTACACTAAGAGAGAGAGTGGAATCTTCCTCTCTAAACAGTTCTAAATTAGGATTCAATTTTCAGCTAATCCATTCCTGTGAAATTTTATAGCAACAGGAAGTTTAGACAATAATTCCATAGTAAGCTCCACATGAAACTTTAAAAGATATGGCACAATATGTTACATAGACTGCCCCCATTAAATTGGTAGTTGCTGGGATATGTTGGGAAAGCAACCTGTGGCTAGTTGCCAAATGGGTTTTTTAAAAAGTACAACAGTTCTTAATTTTCTTCTAGCTACAAGGGTCAACCAGAAGTGACCCATATGGACTCTTTTCTTCATTGTGATCAATAGACAGGCTTTGAGTGATCAGGCCCCTGTGCAATTCCAGAACAGTGGATGAGCCAAGAAATATTTAAGAACACATTACATGATCACAGAGCAGTTTTTTAGGCGTGGAGGGATGATTGTTTTCCTCACTGACATTAAAATGCACTCATCATTTCTGAGCATGCATCTTTTCCCAGCAGGACCTGACGGTAATGAATGCTGGGCAGCAGGGCCAAGTCCAGTCACAGGAAATCCATATTGTAGATGTTAATATTTACTTTGCTAGGTCAAGTTCCTGCCAAGGACTCAGAACTGAGGGAAACCAGTGCCAGGTTAAAGGTTTTTGAGAGTGAAAAGAAGGTAGAATTTATATTTTTGTTCCAAGTAGTAACATTCTCTCAAAATTTGTAGTTAATTTCCACTTGGGTCCTGAAATCAGCCTCATCTTCCTACTATTTTTGTTTTCCTTTCATTTCTTTGAATCAAGATGCTTGAATAAAATGTGCATGGATATGTGTGTGTGCCCCTCTGTGTGTGGCTAAGCAGTATGACACTTAGTAATGGGATAATGCTTTTGGATTTAAAGCTTGCAGTCCTGGGAGCCTGTGTTTGTCATGGTCCCAGAGGGAGCCCCTGTGCCTGTGCCAAAATGGCAGCATCCACTCGGAAAATGGTTCTTCAGCTCAAACAGGAGGTACTGTACTATCAAAACAGTAAAAGCTTGGGTTTTGTTTCTCGACTAACAGTTGAATAAGTGAAATATCTGCAATAATCAGCTTCATTTTGGTAGTCATTGGCTATGGAACTTATCCTTAAGTTTATGATAACATTAACTTATAAACTGTATTTTGTTTACACAGTTCCAACAAGTTGTTTGCGTATGTTTTAGTTAGTATTTTCTGAGTTCATATTTCTTTTGTCTATACATGGCCCTGAAATTACTAGATATTAGAGGAAAAGGCACACATGCCTAAAATCACTAGGATCTGCAACACTGATTAACGGAGAGATAAACATGAAGCTTATTAGAAAAGTTGCAAAGTACCTTTGTACCAGCCAGACCTAACTTTGAATCATAGCTCCATCATTTTCCAGCTCTGTGGCTTCTGGACACATACTTTAAACTATAATAACATTTGGAGGGTTGCTGTGAGAAATAAAAGACAGTAGACATACAATGTTTAGCACAGGGACATGTCTGGCATTTAATCAAATGACAGCTGCCATTGTAATTAAGCTTTAATAATAAATAGTGTGGACCATAATTTTAAAAATATTTCATGTTTATTGAAAGTATGGAATTTAAAGTCTTCAGAGTATATAGGAAAGCAAATAGCTAAACATTAAGCAATATATTATGAAAAGCATACGATTACAAAGATCAGAGTCAGCCATGGGACGTATGTGAAAGATACTATTCATAACTGTTTCCAGTGTTATTGTCTGGAGTGGCCCAAGGCAGAACTGAGATGCAGCCTTTGGCATCCTCCCTTTTTCCTCATTGGCCAGGACACACGCAGGGCCTGTCTAGGATAATGAAGTCTAAGAGGTGGATTAACAGGGAATTGATAGGTACACAAGGGGAACTTCTGGTAATCTAGTTCAGAGTGGGCAGCTACTGCAGAAGAGAATGACAAATGCCAATTAGCTTAAGCAGATGAAAGAGCTCAAAGGCAGGCAGGAGACTCATGCTGGCACAGAGACTGCATTTGCTAATCTGATTCAGCATTCAGGCAACAATTGTTCTGGTTTTGTCTCTGATACCTCTCAAACTTTCTTTCAAAACCAGTTGGGACTTTTGCAGAAGAGTAAAGAAGAAGCCTACATAATGGCAGATGCATTCAGAATTGCATTTGAGCAACAATTAATGAGGAAAAATGACCAGGCACTAAGATTTACACAAATGGATAAAATGTGTAAGAAACCAACAAAATGGATAAATTGGAAGCACCTTAAAGAGGATGGTAAATATGAATTATAATGGCAGTAACTGGGTGTAATTTCAGTTGTTTTTGTTTATAACTATAGTTGAATAAGCACAGTTAACATGGAGAATATAACTGAAATTTCACAGAGTTGTGATTTATGTAAAAATTTAGCAACTGTGGGAAAAAGGGGGTCACTGGGGTGTTAACCTGTGCAGGTAAGACCATAAAATGACAGGACAATCTCTTTTTAGTACTCTTCTATTTCATTTAAACAAGATCATGTTTAGTGGAAAAAAATTGTAAGAGCACTAGATGATTAAAGTGAAGCTGCCAAAAGGAAATTAATATGGAAAATGGCAGTGAAACTCAACATTAAATGTATCTAGTTAAACTTTACTGAAATGTGATTCTGGGTAAGACACTGAGTGGTAGAGGAGAAATCTTAAGTTCGACAAATTAATAAAGTATTCTTATAAAAAGTGAAACAAGTTAAGGTTTTGGTTCACAAACCTATCAAAAATTCATGGCCATTTTTGAGTCATTGTGGTATTAAACAAAATGTATAAAAATGGCGTAAGAGAATAAAATTACAATTGGAATAGGTAGACTGTCCAATATAAAGGTGTTATTTTTAAAGATCTAGTTTCTCTAAATGCTCAATCTCAATTTTCAATTATCAGTATTATTCAGAATTCAAATTGCTTCAGTTTAAAATTCCAATTTGAAACCATTTCTCAGTCAAAGATTACAGTGAAGTTTATTAAGTGTAAATGTTTTCATATTAAAATTCTGACATGACCCCATTTCTAAATCTTTATCAAAATCCATAATCCTAATTCCAATATCTCTCATTTTCAGATGAGTTCAGGACCAGTAAGAATCTTACAGTATCAAAATTGAAACTTAACAGTAGATACCTATTTTGTTTGAAGTATTTCCTTTCAACAGTGCATATTAGTATTAGTATATGGGTCAAGTGCTGGGAATTTTAGCTTCATTAAACTTTACCCATCTCATGGTAAATTGCTTATAGGGATAATAAAAAATAGAAGTAGTAAACAAGAACTGTGAAAGTGGGTAAAAGCAGATTCTATGTATTCAGAGTCAGCTGCAAGTCAGGGCAAAAGGGGGGAAATAATTTTCCTGAACTCTCATCCTTAAAGAGGAATTCCACATTGTCCTGAAATTAACTTCTAAAAGAGTTTTCTGACATGAGACGGGCCACTGAGCAAATATAATAGCTAAGTCCTCAACAGTCATTTGTAAGAAATACAAAATCACCATTTACATGGCTGTTTTCTATAATAATTCCTTAATGTTGAACTTGAGGTAAGTGATTTGCCAGGGGAATCAGCAAACTTAGTCCAATGTATTTAGCGTTTTAGGACTCAGTGGACAACATGACGGGTATCTAGTTCTACCATGAACAGATGTGTAGGTGATCTTCCTCAGACACCTCTTCTCTCAGTGGGGCCCTTAATAGGAGCTGGATTGCAAAATTTTTAAAGGTATACTCTTTGAGGGCAGCCCTGGTGTTCTGTGTTGTTAACTGAAGTCAAATCCTTTTAGAAATCTGATCTTAATTGTTTTGATGGAAGGTAGGGAGAAGAGCCAGGAGACAGAAGAAAAGAAGAGGTAGATTCATATTCATTTCAGCACTTGTACTTATTTTATATTCCCGAATTCCTACTTCCTTAGCTATTTACAAAATTCAGGAACTTTTGCATGGAAAACATGATTTGAGAGGCATAGCTCCCAATCTTTGCCTTCCATTAAGGTACTGAGACTGGAAGCAAAATTGAAAATAATTGATTCATCTCTGAAGTCTTTACAAGTATATACAAGTTTAGTAGCTCTTTTCGTCTTCCCAAACAGAAACTCCATACCCTTTCTATACTAACTGCCTGCTCCCTCCTCCAGCCCATGCTTTATTATTATTTAATGGCACAGCAACCCAACAATAGAGCATAGGTACTATTATTCTCATTCTGGAGGGGAAGAAATGAAGCTCAGAGAACTTGTCCAACGTCAGACAGGAAGTGGCTAAATGGGGATTCAAGTCCAGGTCTTGCTGTCTCTAAGGCAGAGCCTGCATGGTTCAGAGGCTACCTGTCTGCAGACTTGTTTTTTGGGGAGTGAAGTGGTTTCTCAAATAATGTGGGTAAGTGGCTGACATTTAAATTGGGAGATTTCACATACAAATCTGGATTGCTGGCTCCTCTGGAAGACTGAGATGATCTGGTAGCACGGGCTGCATTCTCTCCCACGGGGCAGCCACTGTGGGGAGCTGAGCAGCGGCTGTGCGATGAGACAGTGGCAGGACGGGCGTTGCTGTTTCTCACTGCGGCCCTCTCACCTGTGTCTGCCGTCCTGGCTCTAAAGTCTGCTCTTCCCACTGCACTGTGCTGCCTGACTCAGTCGTGCTAGAGGTCTCCTGAAGAGGACAAGGTCCTGACTGATTTAGGAATGAATCAGCCTTGGTTCACACTTACCTGTTTTCCTGGAAGTACATCAGTGAGTGTCTTGTTATGTCTCAGCTGGATTTTCATGTTCCACTTTAGGGTTACCATCACAAAGTAAGAAGACCTTAGGGCAGAAACTGCTGAGTATGCTCCCTTCAGAAAACAGTTCTAAGAGCACTGATGATCAGGATGATCCTCAGGAAGTCTTTCAGATGCTAACAGATTTGGTTAGTACCTTTACTTTTTGTTAGAGGTTGTAGAGAAGGTAATCCTTTTGCTTCCTATTAAATTCAACTCTTTACCACAGTCAAGTATGTGACTTTTATGCTCTTTTCCCAGTTTAGGCACCATTTTCGAGAATTATGGTCTCAATCTATTTAAACACCCCACACACACTACCCATGTCTCCCATCCATTGCATTCCTTGTGCAAGTTTAAACCTCCACCTCTGAAAAGAGGAGGCTTCCTGTAATTAAGTCCAGGCATCTCTGTCATCTGCATTAATGTATACAGTTCGTGACAAGACTTTGTTTATTCAGGAATTTTTAAAGTGTTCAAGGAACTTCCTCATGCATGTCCTTTAATCATTACAACCTTGAAATCAGCCCTCTTATCCTCAATTTCACAGATGACTAAACTAAGAAACCCAGGTTATATGAACATACTTATCTATAGAAGAGTATTAAAGTTATTTATTTGCATATAAATATATAAAAACAACTTTATATATAAATAACTTCAACATTCTTTCACAGAGATAAGTACATGTTGATATTATATATACATACATACACACACACACACCATGTAAATATATACTTTTTTCTCCTTTCTCTTCAGTTGACTTAAACAATTTTCAACAGAAAATGCTGTTTTCTATTCTTTCTAAAAAAAAAATATCCTCAGTAACTTGTAGCATGATGCTAAGGAATCAGTGGACACTTAATTCATTTATTCACTCTGATTGACTTGACAGAATGAAGATTGAATACTTTCATAAAATACTTCTGACTACAGCTCTGTATTCTGTGATTTACTAATTGGTCCATTTTAAATTTCTGTGCATGCAGCTGAATGATAAAGAAGAAGCTTTGGCTCATCAAAGAAAAGTTAGTTACATGCTTGCTCGGGCTTTGGAAGACAAAGATAACACGTCAAAAGAGAATAAAGAAAAAAGTCCTATGAAAGACAATTCTCCATTAAGAAATCGCTGGCAGAAAACTTCAGAATTCCCCATTTTGTGTGACTGTGTCCATTCAAGCGTTCAGATTTTTAATTCTGTGAACTGCATTTGTTCAGTTCAGCACTTTCATACAGATCAAAACTACACAAGAACTCTTAAAAGATCCCATTCTTTGCCATCAAATATCAGGTACTGAAGACAAACCAGTTGAAATTAGAACTGAGAGCTGTTTATATCGAGACTGAAGAAGGACTGTAAATGCTACTACATCTTCAGAAGTTGTATGTTTCCAGGAATTTCTAAATTTTAGGAGGCAGCTTAAATAAATATTTTCTATAAGAAATTATTAATATATTGTTGACATATTTTATTTATAAATTCTATTACTATATTTTGTGAAGTTTTCAATAATTGCCAATATCTTAAAAGCAAAAAACTGATTTTTGAGAAAAAAATTTAATTATTTAGATTGACTATAGGCATCTTTGGCTCAAGCAACAATAGGAATGACTGAATGTTCATTTTTGAAATACATTTATCTTATTTTTGTTTTTCAGGATTTTTTATTTGCCATATCAAGTTATTTAAAAATTAAAAATAATTTCCTTAAGTTAACTTCAATAAAAAGGTTTTAATGGTGGGATTTTAGCAGAAGTGTATTCAAAGTCATTGCTAGTTACCTTTATAGCTTCTTTTTTGTCAGAGCGGTGACATTTTGTAGCCAGATGTACACAGAATTCTGGCACTTAGGCCACTGAGTTAACTTCTTGGTTTTGATGCTGAGTTTTAGACCATTTAAAGTTATTTTCTCTTTCTATAAATATTACATAGTAATAATCTTTAATACCTTTTGGGAATATTGCTATATTAACAGCATCACAGTGATGCATTACATCGTTAGCAGTTATAATAAAACTTTTATCTAATTATGATCTCTAGTGAAAAGAAAAGGTATTACTACTTAGATGAGAAAACAATAGGGTGATAACATATAAACCACTTATAGTTTTGTTAAAGGAACACCATTGATTGACATTAATAATAAAGGCTGAAAATTTGGCAAATAAATTTTTAAGAAAGGAGGAATGATGAGGATCTACTGTTACCAGATATTAAAATGTATTGTCCTGATAGTAATATAAAGCTACATTATTTAAAGCAGTGTGGTAACAGCAGGTCAATGGAATAGGATAAAGACCATACACAGATGTAGTATATATAATAATTTAGTATGAAACAAGAGGTAGGAAAAGGAAGGATTAGGGATATCTAATAATACCAAAGTGGGAAGTGTAAAAGAAAATCAAATTACAAAAGTTGAAAAGGTTCTTTTAGTGTGTGTGTGTGTAAAAAAAAAAAAACTCAAATTAATAAAATCTATAATATTCCAATTGACAGATACACAAAGAATCTAAATCACTATCCTAAAGGAAATAAAAGCAAAAAGAAACAAATGGGGCCTAATGAAACTTAAAAGGTTTTGCACAGCAAAGGAAACCATCAATGAAAGAACCTACTGAATGGGAGGAACTATTTGCAAATGATACGACCAAAAAGGGGTTAATATCCAACATACATTAACAGCTCATACAACTCAAAAAAATAAACAACCTAACTGAAAAATGGGCAGAAGAACTGAATATACATTGTTTCCCCAAGAGGAAATGCAGATTACCAACAGGCACATGAAAAGATGCATCACTAATCATCAGGGAAATGCAAATCAAAACCACAGTAAGATATCACCTCACACCTGTCAAAACAGCCATTGTCAAAAAGAGCACAACAAATGTTGGTGAGGATATGGAGAAAATGGAACCCTCATACACTGCTGATGGGAATGTAAATTGGTGCAGCCACTGTGGAAAACAGTATGGAGGTGTCTCAAAATAAAAAACTGAACTACCTTATGATTCAGCAGTTCCACTCCTGGTTGTATATCTGAACAAAATAAAAGCCCTAATTCAAAAAGATAACATGCACCCCAATGTTCACAACAGCATTATTTACAATTGCCAAGATATGGAAGCAACCTAAGTGTCCATCAACAGATGACTGAACAAATGGGACCTAAT